TTTTTTTTTATATTCTGACATTGCTCGTGTCAGAATAAAGAAAAAAAAAGACACAGCGGTGTTTCTCTCCTGGGTGGCCGGGAGCGGGAGGCTCCCAGAGCGCCCGGGAGAGTTTTTTTTTTCCGTTTTTTTTTTTACAGCAGCAGAGCCGCCGGACAATAGGAAACTATTGGGAGGAGCTAGCTGTCACTGCTAGCTCCGCACAATCGTTTTCTATTTACTTTTTTTTAACTTTTTTCACTCTTTTTCTGTTCTGTTCGGTCCCTCTGAGGGACCGAGCAGAAAAGCCGAGCCGAATGCCTGCTGAGCATGTTCGGCCGACCCGAAGCCACGCGAAGCAAGCCGATGTACGGCTGATTTCAGCCGATGTACGACTGAAATCAGCCGTACCAGCCTGAAGTGAATAGCCGAACAGTGTTCGGCTCACTTCACTTCAGATCGGTCATTCACTTGTTCACTACGGCAGCTTAGTGAATAGACCCCATAAGGAACTCAAAATTTAGTTCCTTTCCTGGAGATGCACTGCCTCTGTTCTTCTATGAGCTGCACATGGGTGTTGGACAAAAAGGGTACATAAGGACATCAAGAATATGAGAAGTAATAAATGACCTTTGTAATGTTATAGACCTTGTGAGATACAAGACGTTTTGGGGGCACTCCCAGTCTTTTTATTATCTTTATTGCAAAAGCGTTACAAACATAAGGCTGACAGGATTTCCTATCAGCTGTATGTTTGTAAAGCTTTTGTAATAAAAACTGCAAGAAGACCACGAGCCCCTTGTACTTCTTGCATCACTCAAACTGGATTACTATTTTTCTTGTTGCAGCAGTGATATGCTGGGTTTGTGAGATCGTTACTTCCCTTAAATATTCAGATGTCAAAAACACTCTATGTGGGAATTGTTTTCATGTTAGGGTACCCCGGCAAAACTCCAGGCAATTAGCTACATACATACAGTATTTCAAACACATATATCCGAAAAACACTTATAATTTTGTCCAGGAATTCTTGCAATTCAACAAGCAAATGATGCCCAGTGTGTGCTTATGTTTCTGGAATGCAAAAGCCCAGGGAAACATATAAAACTCCCCCATTATATAGCAGGCTAGTCAGCACTACTCTGCTACAGACACCCAAGAATAGGAAACGTACCTTTAGCTTCATCATGGAGTCCTGACTCATTTTATCTCCACGAGCTTCTGGAACATCATCAATTCCAATTAATTTGGCTTTATATCGTACTCCATCTCCTTTGAATCTGGCCAAGAGGAATTCATCTGTTTTTTCTGGAACTGCAATCAGCCAAAAAATATTAGATAATACTTCCGATCCTGACTAAGGAGTGTGTCGCACTTTCTTTTAAACCTAACCACTAGATGCTATTGTGCTGTTTTGGCCTTTTAAAGCCCAAATTTACCTTTAAACTACCTCAGGGCATATTTTATTTTCCATATAAAAGTTTATCACCAAGGGACTAGCTAAACATGCTGTTGAAATACATATACATAGTTGGTAAGGTTGAAAAAAGACACAGGCCATCTAGTCAGGGCCGGATTTCCCACAAGGCCAACAAGGCCTGGCCTCTAAGCAGCAGGGAGTAGAGGGCCAGCAGCGGTGTGGAATTCCTATCTCCCGATGCCTGTGACATGCAGTTCTGGGTGCCAGGCGGTTAGTTGTTTTCTACATTTAGCCCTGCTTTGGTGCAAGCACAGCTAAATGTACGGTGTGAAAGCTGCCGCTTGTTTTGTACAAGTGATCTCGGCGAGATCACTTGTATGCAGCCTGCAGGTCTGTGATTCTCTATGGGGCACATTGAGGAACCTGGCCTTGGGGCAGCAGAGAGAGTAAATCCGGCCCTGCATCTAGTTTAACCTACCGTATTTATGTATGTGTGTGTGTGTGTTTGTCTGTGTATGTACATATCACTATGGATTTCTATACCTCTGCATACTTTGTAAACTGAGTAACTCATCTAATTTTAACTTTTAACTTTGGAAGGATGTTCAAATTTTTACTATTTTGACAGTTAAAAAAACCCTTTACGCAGTTTGGGAATAAACCACTTGCTTCTTATCCAACTTCATGTTATGGCCATGTGTCTTCTTCAGAATCCTTAGGTTAAACAGTATATCCCTGATACTGAAGAATTGACATTGAAGAATTGTATATTGCGATCATATATTCTCTTAATCACCTCGTCCCCAAAGAGAACAAGTTTAATTTTTGTAGTAGTTCTTCATAACTTAGGTCCTTCATCCCCTTTATTAATATTGTTGCCCTTCTCTGAGCTCTTGCTATTTCAAGGACATCTTTGCTGAGGATCGGTGATCAAAACTGAACCACATACTCAAGAACCAGTGTTTTGTAAAGAGGTAGAATTAAAGTTTTATATCTGGAATAAATACCTCTTTTAATGAAGGTTAGTATTCTGCTAACTTTGCTAGCTGCACCCTGGCATTGCAAGGACTCTCATGAAGTGGTTGACCTGCCAAAGGGTTTGCAGTTTTGTGCAGCCACTCTTCTGATCCAAAAAGCACAGCCAGGCCAGTTACCCCTTAGAATATGTTGCAATAAAGCAACAGAGGCTGGTCAAGAATCAGCCCTGGCGTGTGACTGGTCAATAAAGGACAAGCAGCACAACAATGAGGCGATCCCTGTGCTCTCCACTCTCTCCAAGCCCCAATGGAAAGCCCTGATTTAAAGACCCCTTCGTTTTCCAGTCTGTGCTGTTGTGAAGGGAATTATGGAAGGATTACATATAGTTAGATAGTATTTGAGGTTGAATAAATTCCCTAGCGGCATACCCATAATTGTATAACCCATTTGTTATACAATATATGTTTTTAATTCCAAAGTGCATTACTTTGCATTTATCGACATTAAACCTCATCTGCCACATTAATGCCCACTCCCCTATTTTATCCAGGTCCTCCTGTAATGTTATAGTGTCTAAGTCCGTGTCTATTACCCTCCCAATTTTGGTGTCCTCCGCAAACACGGAAATATCGCTGTTAACAGCCTCCCCGATGTCATTATCTGTTTGACAATTATATCAAACAGAATCAGGTACTTATGCTAATTCTTTGTAAAAATAAATCTATGATTTTTCAATGAACTCGTAACTGGATTAAATAATGTATTGTTTATATCTGCCTGTAGTAGTTTAGCTATCATAACCTTTCCTTCCCCATTTACAATCATCTTCACATTTCTTTGTCTATCTACCATCAATTTCTTTTTTTTTGTAATTTTGGTGGTTGCCACCAATACCCACTGCACTCTATGTGCAGTAATGTCTGCTAGAGAGGACAGAACCTGACCATCACAGCAGATCATGCACAATGGAGGTTATAGGACCATCAGGAGGGAAGCAGAATTGTTTCTGGATGTCGTTAGCAGCTTAATAATTTGACTTGTTTCCTGGAGCTGTCCTTTAAATGCCCTATATGTACAGAATAATTATACATTACAAATGAATGAAAAAATGTAAATGATAAAATAGGAAGCCTTTTCTCTAATGAAAGGAAACCAAATATGAGTTGCCATTGCTGATATGTCCCTCAGAAAATACTGTCTGCATGGCTGTCATGTTTATTAGGGATGCACAAATACCAAGTACCGTACTTAGTACAATTACAATTACAGATACTTTCCCAGCTACTAGAGTAGAGAAAAAATCAAGTTAGGTGGAAGCTGTCATTTTTAAGGAGCATTGGCTATGGGGCTCCTGGGATTTATGCTTCCCTATTTTAATGTATGATTTGTTATATACAAAAAAAAAAAAATATATATATTAGGGGTGCGGAAATTAACGATTAATATACCGATACCAATTACTGATATCTTTTTGTTTATTGTCATGTGACAGTTTTTCTACAAACAATACGATTTCAGGACAGTGGAGTGCCAGAGCCAGGTCCCTGCTGCCACCCTGGTAGTTCTCGTGAAAATGACAAGTACTGGCACTGGTATCTGAACTGGTATCTGAACTGGTATCTGTGCATCCCTAATGTTTATATAATTGGAATTTAATTTGGAATACTATAAGGCAGAACTCCAGTAAGTCCGTTTTTTGCACATTTGCATTGGTTCCCCATACCAGATATGTATACTTACATTGCGCCAAACTGAACCAATGTAAGTTTGCAAAAAACTGACTTCCTGAAGACCCGCAACAAGTATAGAGATCAGAAATTCAGAATTTCCTTTACTGCATTTTTTTTCCAGACTCAGAAATACTGAACCCAGAGGCAGCCAAGCCTTCCGCATCTTCAGCAGGGGCACAGTAATGGCCACCCAAATATTTCTCTCATGACACATGTACTTTGAAAACTGCTAGACAACTCCATAAAAAATGATCAGGGTTATTTTGTTAAGCAATGAGATGAGCAGTGCTGATGGAAAAAGTTCAGATGTCAGCCAACCCCATTGTCATTACCACCGGTCCGCTCTGCTGTGTTTCTGAGTATTGCACAGCGTGTGACATCCAATTTCAGGCACACAGACCCTTTCCCACTGGCCCACTTTTTGCCGTGCATGGCTCAAAATCAAATTCCGCATGAGAGATGGACCAGTGGCAATTTGGAAAGATGGCTAAAATTAACAGGTGTGCTCACCCTTTCCTACAATATTCAAAACTAGATTCTTTTAAATATACTGCTGAAAGCATTTTGTTATATATGTTTGATAAGAAATGTCTGCTGATCCTGCCAGAAATCTTGTAAGATGCTAACATGTAGCATGTATAACATCTATACACGTTGCATCTGCTGACTTCTGTTCCTACACAAATACACTAAAGTGAGTGAGCAAAGTTCTGGAGCTGCACACCACTTCCAAAGAGTAAAATCAACTTTATTGTTCAGCCCATGCACAGAAACGCCACCCAGGATCCTCCCTCTGACATGTTTTGCCCCCTACCGGGGCTAACTTACAGAACAAAAACAAAAGTGAGTATGCATTGGCACCCTAGGACAGGAAGTTTCTAAGCTGCTTTAAATAAATCAGCCCCTTCATGAACACCCAGGGGGTTGCTACTAAAAGAGACAACTTAAGCTGCCCATACACTGCTCAAATGTTGCCAAAGTTCCACTGACTTGGCTGAAAGAAATTCGAGCAATGTGTGGCCCTCTTGGGACCCCTCCTGTTTGACAAAAGTTGATTATTCGACCTATGTCAACTGTACCGGTCCAAAAATAGTTGGCTGGTATTCTGACAGCAACACATCTGCCAATGCCAGAATATGATAACACGGCAGCCAGAGGGAATCCCCCATCCATGTTGTTTAAACGTTTTTTCCTCCACGGACTGAACAAGGAAAAACCACTAGTGTATGGCCAGCTTAGTCAGCATAGCAGATGACCTAGCACATATCCCCAGGCTTCACTTTGGGAACCAATTACCTAGGGGGTCCCTACATTTTGTTCATTATACACTGAGATAGGGTGGGGATGAAGTAAGCAGGTTATAGTCCTTTATAAGGATTTAAAATATCCCAAAAAGGACACTTTTTAAACCAAAGAATTGTATACAATAACATTTTGCGGTTTAATATATACTATGTATTTAATATAATATACTGTAAATTATATTGTGTGGACATAAAGAGACCTATGTTATATTTTTGTTAAATTATGAATTTAAAAGGGGTATAAAATACAGTTTGTGATGGTTTTCTGGAAAGCAAGGAAAGTATTTGATTTAGTTACCACTGGCAACTGTTAAACACTGCTGGCATGCAATATTTGTATTGACCAGTGATCTAGCTGATATGAAGCACTGCCTGTGTATATGTTACAGTGGCCATATTTGAAAAACCCAGAAATATAAAATATAGACTGCTGCATTGAGATTTTATCATTGACGATTCTTACATAGATATACAATGATAGTAAGTGCTCACCTAAAACTAAAGCTGGCCATACACAAAATTCATCCACACTGCAAGGGTTAAGAGCTCGTTTTGGCTAGGGAGCGAAAATAACAAAGTTATACACACCCAAAACTGTGATCCCTGGCTTGCTCCTAGAGCTTTGGTTCTCAACTGGTGGGTCGTGACCCAAAAGTAGGTCGCAACCCCGTGTTCAGTGGGTCGCTGCGTGCCTTCCACTTTTCCAGGTGAGAGGCTCCTTTGCTTCCCCCTAGCGCAGCAGCACTGTCAGTACTCGCACCAAACAGCCATTCAAAATATGCTGCCCGGTGCCGAGTGTCAGTTTGAGGTGGGATGGGGCTATGGCCATGATGGAGCTCCATACATAAGTGCATTGCCTACACCTCCTTTAAAATATCCTAT